CAAATCCTCCCAAGCACAGGGGGAGGAGGACAGCTGCTGGGCTAGCGATGCTTTTTTGGAAAGGATTAAAGCGATCCAGAGCTCTTCTCTGTTCCCTCTTAACTTGAAAAACAGTCCTGGCTGCCAGCAGCTGGCATGAGTGGAGGGTGCCCGGGCAGGTTCTTCTTGGGGGTGCGTGACACTCTGCCTGCTTTGCGCCTGGCTTGGGGTGAGGGACTTGCTCAAGCTTTGTCTCCTGCAGCTTCAGCTGATGCTTTAGGGGTGCTGGGGGGTAGGGGGATGGGGAGAATCTTTCGGTGGTAAAGGACGGTAAGTGGGGATGTGGAGCTGGACACAGGACTCCGAATGCCCTGGGAAGGTGGGAAATGAGCCACGGAGCAGTCCCATCACTGACATACAGCTGCCTCTGGCACTGGAGCGCTGTGGGCCTCTTTTTAAACTACACGCATTTTCATTATGATGTGTTTTTATAAAAATGTGTTTTTTAAATTAGATCATCCTTAAAGAATGTCGGTGTCAGGCCTGTTCTCTTACTCCGTGGATGCTCCTGGCCTTGGAGTGGATCCGCTTAAGTGCTTAGGGTTTCCTTTTCCAAGGGATGGACCCCCTTGCTAGCAGGGAGAATTTACTGAGGGGGGAGTGTCTCAACTGCGCTGGGGAAGCTGGCCTTGACCAAGTTCTATGGGAGCAGCATCCTCCCACGGGAGGGAGGCTGAGCAGAGATGCGGCTGGCTGGGTGCTCCTTGCCCTCACTGTCCCTGCAGTGTTACCTTCAGGAGACTTGGTCTTTGGCCAGCCCTTCAGGAGGTCAGAAAAGCTGTGGCCAGTGCGAGGCTCTGGGTCCTGTCGTGATGCTACTGCCTTCACCCTGACCCGGGAGCCTCCCGAGCTCTCCAGCACAGCAGCCGGCCTCTGTGAGGGGGAAGGGAAGGCGGGGAGAAGCTCTCGGAAAAAGTGACGTTTTGTGCCTGCAGCTCCCTTGGCCGCTCTGGCAGCAGGAGCAGAGGGAAGGCAGGATGGTGAG